GCCTTGAAAGTAGAAAAGAGGGAGAGCACAAGAGGTCGAGTAAATCCAGTGCTTCTGTTTCTTTCATTTTCTTTTTTTTTTATCTTGTTTTGATCTCAATCACCCTGTTGTTGATGCCCTACATAAGGAGAATGTTGTTGTTGTTGTGGGGTGGGTGCGAGTGTGTTTTAAGAGCTTTGGCTGCTTTAAAAAGGGAGGGCAACACATCTCAGTTTGTGCTATAGCTGCAAAGTATAGGATAGGTTATAAATAGCTGAATAAAGAACAATTTCTGCTTGTTAGACTTTGTGTACCAGATGCCGATTTATACACCGGCAGCTTAAATTCCCAACGCGTTACATTTAGTTTTAATGAGGTTGTACCCAGCCTGCTTTCGGTTTGCAAGGGCCTGTGGGTGTGTCTCCCCTGTTCTCGGACAAGATGAAATGCTGGGAAATGGTTGCTCATCTGCTGTGCCAACACTCCATCCTATGATTATATATTTGTGTGCTTGAGTGTATACGTGTGTGTGTGTGTGTGTGTGTGTGTGATTTTTTATCTGAAATGGGAAAGAGCAGGGGGAAGAGAATCCTGCATAAAAGGGACACGACAATTCTGAAAGCTTGGATAGAATTAAAATCTTGACTACAGATGTACTTCATTTGGTGCTGGAGAACTGCTTCTCCACCACCACCATTGTAAATAATGAGTGAATCGCTTGAGTGAAATACTGCCTGATATGATCTCATCCTGACGTCCAGCCTAATAATCCCAGAGCAGTTTGAGGAATTGCCTTTCTGTGCTGGCAGGAAGGGCTGAAGGATGTAGAGAGTGAGCCATCTAATGGCAGCTCTGCAATTCTTCCTTTGCTACTTCATAAAAGAAAAAGAGGAAGGTGTGGAGGGGGGGAGAGACATCCTTAAAACTGTTGCCTTGTCCAGTTTCCTCCCCAGTCCACTCGAGTTTGACATGCTACTAGCAGCATCTCTGCTAGCTTATTTCTAAAACTCCGCATCGAGAAAGGAAACTAAATGCCATAAATGCCTACCTTTGCTTGGAAGCCAGTTCATATCTTAGCAGCAAGGGTGTGGCTGCTCCCACACCAACTCTGGCAACAGCTGAAGGAAGTGAATCACGCAGACCTTGAGGTAGAGATAGATGCATCTTGTCAACTTTGTTTCTCATTTTCCCAACCTTAAGTTCAGTTGGCCCCATTCCCTCAATGGTTTGTAGGTTGGTTGGTTAGTTTGTTTGTTTAACTCATGCCTGCTGTATATCCACCTTTTGGCATTATTGGCCTTATGCCAAGTCTACTTTTGGGAGAAAAGTTGTTTAGGCCAGCTGCTTTGTAATCTGGTTGAGTCAATTTCACAGTCCCATTGTCTTGGATAAAATTTGGGAGAAAGTTAGGAACATTGAACCCTTCCTTCTTTCCTCATTAAAGGTAAAGGGTAGAGTGACCCCTGACCATTAGGTCCAGTCGTGGCCAACTCTGGGGTTGCAGCGCTCATCTCGCTTTATTGGCCGAGGAGGCCGGCGTACAGCTTCCGGGTCATGTGGCCAGCATGACTAAGCCGCTTCTGGTGAATCAGAGCAGCGCACAGAAATGCTGTTTACCTTTCCACCGGAGTGGTACCTATTTATCTACTTGCACTTTGACGTGCTTTCGAACTGCTAGTTTGGGCAGAGCGCGACTGAGCAACGGGAGCTCACCCGCACAGGATTCGACTGGCAACCTTCTGATCGCACCAGGCTCTGTGGTTTAACCCACAGCGCCACCCGTGTCCCTCCTCCTCATGTTGTTGTTGTTAGTCGTTTAGTCGTTCCGACTCTTCCTTGCCCCCATGGACCAGAGCTACGCCAGGCAACTCCTGTCTCCACGCCCCTGCAGTTTGGTCAGTACTCATGTTTTGTAGCTTCGAGAACACTGTCCAACCATGCTGCGTCCTCTGTCGTCCTTCTCCTTGTGCCCTCAATCTTTCCCCAACATCTTAGGGTCTTTTCCAGGGATCTTCTCATGGAGGTGGCTCAAATATTGGAGCCTCAGCTTCAGGATCTTGTCCTTCCAGTTGACGCACTCAGGCCTCCTCATTAACAACCTTCAAATGTCATTCTGGCTCTCGGGCGCTTGTCTCCGCTGTCCTTCCATCGTCTTCTGCCCCAGTTGGTCCATCTCACTCTGTTTTGTCTGTACCAGCCTTGCCTCAAGCCTGGTGCCCTCCAGATGTTTTCAACTGCTACTCCCATGTGCACCAGGCAACATAGTCATGCTGACTGCAACTGATGGGAGTTATAGCCCAAAGCATATGAAAGGCACCAGGTGAGGAAGAGTGGTCTAATCTGACAGAAAGTGGGTCTCCAGGTCCCAAGAATTTTTCCCAGCCCTACCTGGGAAATAAATAAAACTTGATGGGTTTTGGCATGCAAAGCATCAACTCTCCTACTAAGCTACATCCCATTTCTGTTCTTAACCTGTATTGCAATTTCCCCATAGTGTTCATGCTGTGGATTGACAGCTTAAAATCCAACATTCTCCTGTTCTTTTCCTCTCCTCTAACTCTTGCACTGTTTTTCATTTTTTCTTTTGCAAGAGCAGAACTCTTATTGTTTCCCCTTTTAACCAGGGATGTGCCTGCGTGATACAGGATGTAGCCCTGGCTTGGGGCTTCTCTACTGTCCCCTTGCTCATAACATACAGCAGTGAAACACAAGATGAGGCCATGCCATGCGTTCACCTGCCCCTCCTGGTGGGGAAAGGGTGAAACAAGCAGTGTGTCAATGCTATTTGGGTTGCTGGCCTGCATGTTGTGTAACATTTCTCATTGCGGTCCCAGCCAGCATCGCCAGTGGTCAGTGAATTGTTATCTGGCAAAATCTAGAGGGATGTAGGGTCCATGTCTTCCCCACCATATTGAGCTCAATAAATATTGGAGAGCAATTTGATTTCTCAACACTGGGCTTTTTGTGTTAGAAAACTGATAGCCTGCTTTCTTTGATATCCAAGTACTGCACATTTAGAGTTGTATACAGCATTAGTCATTTTCAGAGTGGATGCACTGAAAGGAAAGGAAATTACTATCTTAGATCCTTTAATTACAGTCTGAGTAAATGCCATGGCCCCTGGATCCAGGAGTGATTTGTACACAAAGTTGAAGGCTGCAGGGGAACTGGATGAGGAGCTAGTCTGGGTCAGGTATCAGAGCTGACTGCAGAAGACAGGGAGGCTGTTGGGCTTGAGACAGTTGGACAAGAATTCCCAGAGGAACCTCCCAGGCCATCAAGGCCTTATAGGGACCCGGGACCCTCATTAACAACTTCCCTTGAAGAACCAAATGTCTCTCACTGCACATCACCGGCCCAGCAGTGCTAGAAGTCCACCAGGAGGGGAGGCTATGGGAACAAAGGAGACTTGTCCATCTTCAGTCCAGAGGGTTGCTTCTTTAAGAATCTGAAGTTATTTGGACTCAAGGGCGTGGAGCCTAGAGGAGGCTGTCTCCAGACACAAGAGGCCCAGGCTGCTCCCAGTCTTCGTCAGAGCAAGTTGCTCACTTGCACCCATCAGTGGTCCAGTAGCCATGCCTCCAATCTTGCCCCATTCCAGGCAGGTTCTGCATCAGACCAGAACACGACGGCAGAAATTAAGTTGGACAAAACCCAAACTGAACTAAGCTTTTGTTCATTGGGAACCGACAAGTTGCATATTTTGTGCTGTGAACTTGTACATATGCACAATTGTAGTGTTGGATGGTGTGCTGTTGCCGTGAAGATTGAGTTTTGCCTTCAACACGTAGGTGTATGCTGAACTGTGCTGTACCCTGGGGGGCTTCATTACATTCCACGCTTTGATTCATATTTTCAGCGTCTGCGAAAAATTTTTAAAACGTAATTGGCTTTGTGTACCACTTTCCCGGTAGAATAAAAGCAGCAATGGTGTGGATGGGAAATAACTAAGATGAAGTGGGGTGCGGGGAGAGCGGTTTTGTGATGGCTAGATGTGAGCTCACTCTTGAAATGTCCTGTGGCTTGTTGCTGAAACAAACGTGTATGAAGAAGTAAAAAAAGAGAGGGGAAAACCAATCTCAAATTGCTGTTGACTCATCAGGGCAGACATGAGTGGAGTCAGCATAAGTCCTGACTGCTATGGTTCAGGTGTGTATCTGAGCTCGCCAGGTGCTCATCCAAGACAGGGTGGCGTTGTTCAGAATGGAATCAAATGTGGGAGGAAGTGCTGGAAAGCTCAATTGCATTTCCCTTTTTTGAAAGCACGCGTGCACGCACACACACAGAGGGAGACTTGGATCCAGAAGCACAAGTCGAATTTGCAGGCACATAGCAGGACTTCCTTGCACCCTTGGTTCTGCAGCCCCTTATGCCTCTGGGGGAAAGAATCAGCAGAAATTGGCACACTCCCCACACATGAGCAGTGGCTCTCTGAATATCATCCCTAGATAACAAGCTTTTGCTTTCTTTTGGAACAACTCAAGGGGTTGTATCCAGTGTTGCGACAATTAAAATCAACTTACTAGGTTGCTTGTTCTGCTGGTGAAGTGTTTTGCACCAGCGGGTTGTTGTTGTTGTGCAAGGGAATGCATAAGCAGCATGCTGGTAACTTTGTTGCACAATAGAATGCACAATGGGTTGTGCAATGGGTTTCTGCTAGTGCAACTGCTGCATTGCATTCCTCTGTTGCGCAGTATGAAAACTCCTGTTGGATACATATCTTTGTTTCCTTTTTCCTTTTGTAGCTCCTATTAACCTTGTAAAAAAAATCCTTTCTTTTCTTTTTTGTAGTTTGTGGGGGGGGGTGTTCCTTTTTATTTTCCTCTTTAAACAGCCTTCAAAATAGTGACTTGATTATTGTTATTTTAAATAAGTAATTGACTGATCCCTGAACTGAGGGTGGGCGGGGGGAGGGATGTCTCACTGTGGGGAGGGTTGCACGGAATTTAAACTTAATCAAAGATATGAGTTGCCATTTTGCAAGGAAAACTCTTTCCCCCCACCCTATTTTTATCTTTTAGCACCACCAAAGGAGATGTAATTTGGTATTACGGAAACAAAGGCGGCCCAGAACCTGTCTTCTTAAATCCCGGTGGGTTATATCAAAAACTGTTGGAATATTGGTTTATGTTATAGCAGTGGGATGTGTTCATGTGTGTTGTGTGTGTGCTTGCACAGTCTTTGTCCTGAAAAGCGGAATCCCATGAAAGAGAGCTACTGGATCTTTGTAAGAGGAGCCTCATTCAACTGTGCATTTCTGTTTGGAGGTGCATTGGCTACATGTGGAGTAAACTGGCTTTATAAATATCTCAAATAATATTTTTTTTTAAATACCGATGAGTAGGGTGCTTAACTAAAACATGGAAGGCTGTAGCCTGAGGGCTTGTTCTAATAATTACTTTGCCTACAGCAGCTTGCAGGGGAATTCGGGAGTCAGGCAGTGCTGAGGCATACTGCTGATGTAGTATATCATTTTGGAGGATCTTCTTTCAACATAACTTAGAACTAGATACAGTGGTGCCCCGCAAGACGAATGCCTCGCAAGACGGAAAACCCGCTAGACGAAAGGGTTTTCCGTTTTGGAGGTGCTTCGCAAAACGAATTTCCTATGGGCTTGCTTTGCAAGACGAAAATGTCTTGCGAGTTCCTGCAGGGCTTTCCCCCCCCCCCTTTTCCCAAGCCGCTAAGCCACTAATAGCGCTAATCCGCTAAGCCGCTAATGGGCTTGCTTCACAAGACGAAAAAAACGCAAGACGAAGAGACTCGCGGAACGGATTCTTTTCGTCTTGCGAGGCACCACTGTACTTTTAGTGCTGGAAGGGACCTTGGACGTTTATCTAGTCAAGCGATGGGGAATCTCCAGTCCATGGGCCAATCTTGGCTCAGGATGGGGGGGGGACCTGTTTGGCCTGCAAAAACCCACACCCACCTGTCAATCAGCAACATCACTGGGGCAGGTTCGGCACTGGCAAAGCTGCAGGGAGCAGGATTGAACCTTCCTCCCATCAGCTGATGAGCTGGAGAGTTTGGTCCTGCTGGGTGCTGATTCCCTGCAGGGAACATGCTGGTGAAGCAGAACCTCACTGCCTTGCATCGACCTCCCATAGCTCAGTTGGTTGGAACATGGTGCCGATAATGCCAAGGTTGCAAGCTCGATTCCCATATGGGACAGCTGCATATTCCTGCATCGCCAGGGGTTGGACTAAATGATCCTCATGGTCCCTTCCAACTCTACAATTCCATGATCCATGACTTGGGGCTTTATGTCTGGTTGACTGGTGGGATTGACTCTTGTCACCATGTCAAGGCCGGCCTGCAGGGTGGAAACTGATAAAGATCTGGCCCAGAAGGTTCCCCATCCCTGATCTCATCCATAAAGGTAAAAGGTAAAGGTACCCCTGCCCATACGGGCCAGTCTTGACAGACTCTAGGGTTGTGCGCTCATCTCACTCTAGAGGCCGGGAGCCAGCGCTGTCCGGAGACACTTCCAGGTCACGTGGCCAGCGTGACGAAGCTACTCTGGCGAGCCAGAGCCGCACACAGAAACGCCGTTTACCTTCCCGCTAGTAAGCGGTCCCTATTTATCTACTTACACCCAGGGGTGCTTTCGAACTGCTAGGTTGGCAGGCGCTGGGACCGAGCAACGGGAGCGCACCCCGCCGCGGGGATTCGAACCGCCAACCATGCGATCGGCAAGTCCTAGGTGCTGAGGTTTAACCCACAGCGCCACCCGCATCCCACACGATCTCATCCATACCCCACCCCATTCCATGCAGAATCTACAGTGCAAGATGCAGAGTCCAGCATCTCTGACAGATGGCCATTCAGCCTTTGTTTAAAGGTCCCCAGAGAAAAGCGTACCAACTACCGTTTAAGACAGTGATGGCCAAACTTGGCCCTCCAGCTGTTTTGGGACTACAGTTCCCATCATCCCTGACTACTGGTCCTGCTAGCTAGGGATGATGGGACTTGTGGTCCCAAAACAGCTGGAGGGCCAAGTTTGGCATCACTGGTTTAAGACCATCTGTCAAGCAGCTCTCACTATTAGGAAATTTCTCCTCCTGCCCAGCCAGAATCTGCTTCCTTGCCATTTCCACCCTTGGTTCTAGACCTGCCCTCTGGAGCAACAGAGATGAAGTCTGCTCCATCTTCTAAGCAACAAACCTATAAGCTCGTTCCGCATGTTCATATCCCACCATCCCTCACTTGCATTGCACAAAGCTGTTTTTTAAAAAATAAAAATAAAAATGCATGCTACTTAACTAAACGTAATACATAAAATGTTAAAATGGATTAAAGCCAAACTTGAATGGAAAATGTCCGCTGGAATTGGGGAGCCTCCAGTAGGTGCAGAAGTTCAACAGGGATGGGGCTGTTTGACCTCATCAGGAAGAGAGTTCCACAAATTTGGGCTCACAATACTGAATGCACAGCTCCTGCTGGATACAAACTGTTCATCAGTGCCATGAAGGACCTCTTATGAGAGACTCTCCCCAAGACCTCAGTGATCAGGCAGGGATATAAAAGTATAAGCAGAACATTAGAAAGTTTGTAGGCAAATAAAATGGGGACACTGGCCACACCTGCATGCAGTGCAAAGGCAAAAAAATTCATGGCATAATAAACCAGGATATTCATGAGTTGTATGCAGGGGCACGCAGCTGATTTGCAGCCACATTGCTCAGCAGTTAACCATAGTTAACTGCGTGTAAGTCCAGAAACTATGGTTAATGGCTTCGGAACAAGCCAGAGTGTAAAGCCAGCTTCAAAGCATAGCTTTGTATCCTGGTTTCTTTTGAAGCTTGACATTTACTATTGCATTACATTTATACACCATTTGAGAATAAAACAATAATCACATGGAGAGAGGGAGGGAGGGAGGGAGGGAGGGAGGGAGGGAGGGACAGACAGGCTGCAAAGGAGCATGGCATCTCTGTACCTGGCATCACAAAGGAACCTGGCATCACTCCTAAGGTAAAGGTAAAGTGACCCCTGACCGTTAGGTCCAGTCGTAGCCGACTCTGAGGTTGCGGCACTCATCTCGTTTTACTAGCCGAGGGAGCCAGTATACAGCTTCTGGGTCATGTGGCCAGCATGACTAAGCCGCTTCTGGCGAACCAGAGCACCACACAGAAACACTGTTTACCTTCCCGCCGGAGTGGTACCTATTTATCTACTTGCACTTTGACGTGTTTTCAAACTGCTAGGTTGGCAGGAGCTGCGACCGAGCATCAGGAGCTCACCCCATCGCGGGGTTTCGAACTGCCGACCTTCTGATTGGCAAGCCCTAGGCTCTGTGGTTTAGACCACAGTGCCACCTGTGTCCCTGGCATCACTCATATCCTGGCTTATTAAGGTAGTAATTTTGACTTAGAACTACATTCATGGCCACTGTATGACTTTCTTGGTAGAGGAAGAGCCACCTTAATTTTGGAGCTGTTGTCCCTTTTGTCTTCCACTCTTGTACAGTGGTTCCAACCCTACCCCTCCTAGCCAGGCTGTTGCATGAGTTTTCAGAATGGAAGCAACCTAGTTGTTGACTTGAAAGGCTGTGCATAGCTCAGTGGCAGAGCACGTGCTTTTCATGTGGAAGGTCCCAGGTTCAGTCTCTGCATCAGCCTGAGACCTCAGCGAGGGTCCCCAGCGGTGTGAGAAGGAGGCGCAGTGGTCTGTCTCAGTACAAGGCGACTATGTAAGTCCACAAGTTAAAAATAAATCCAAGGAGAGCAAGGGGATTCAAGCCCCGTCTCTTCTCTTTAATTAAAAGGGGGGTGTTGAGAATTCTCAGCACATCTGACTTTGTTTTTGCATGCCTTAATGCCCCATTAAGAGATCAGTGATCACTTATTCACACCGTGCCACAAAGCTGTAATGCAAGAATTGGGTACCCAGAGGTACTGCCGCTGACATCCCTGATCTTTCTGCATCAACGACGAGTTCATTCTCTGCTAAATGTGGCCTCCACGGGGAGAGTAGCTGATGTTGGAGGGTTGTGGGATAGATCATTATATTACACAGCTAGTGCTTATTCTTCTGGATTATGGCCAGCAAATGTAGGGCAGTTCTAGAGAGAGAGAGAGATCTCTGCTGTCAACCAGTGTTGCTGCGCACCGTTAAGGACCCTATTTGAGAGATGTGCCGCATGCGTGTAAAAGGGGATAAAGTGCCTTTCATTAAGCCGTATATGCAGCTCTTTCGGCGTGCCAATGCCTTGCAATCTTTCGTCTGAAGAAAGTGAGATCCAGTCCGCTGTCATCATTGTGTAAGAACATAGGAAGCTGCCTTAAACCAAGTCACACTGACAGTTCTGCTAGTTCTGTATTACACTGAGTAGCAGGGGCTTTCCATGGTTTCGGACAGGGAGTCTTCCCAAGCCCTACCGGAGGACTCCAGAGATTGAACCTGAGACATTCTGCAATCCACAATCTACTACTGAGATGCAGCTTTCGCCTGCATCCTATCCCTGGGGAGTATCCCTGGTAGTATCCTGCATCCTATCCCTGGGGAGAAGCCAGAAAGTTAGGGAACTTGGGAGTTGTGTCCTACCAAGTTATACTCAAAGTAGGCCCTTTGAAATTAATGAACCTAAATTAACCATGTCCATCAATTCCAGCGGAGCATGAGACTCTTCATCTCAGCGTTGTGGGTTCAAGCCCCATGTTGGGCAAAAGATTCCAGCTTTGCAGGGGGCTGGACTATTGTGGTCCCAACTCTACAATTCTATGGTTCTATGGGTCTACTTTGAGTAGGACTGGCTTTGGATGCAAGCTTTTTTCTTTAAGTTACGAGCAGAAACCGCCACAAATGTTGACGGGAATGACTACAGCGGCATAAAACCAACCTGCGCGTTCCACAGCGTTGATGTTACCCTAAACTGAGGGTGCCCTCCAGAACCACAATTCCCATCATCCTTGACTACTATTGGCCTTGCTGCCTGGGATGGGTCAGAGTTGGAGTCCAACATCTGGAGGGTACCACATTGACTACCATGCCCTAGATGTATACACTTCACTCTTCTTGTAAATAATACTCTTTATTATTACTATGATGCTGCTGATTATATAATGTTCTTCCATGTACGCACTTCAGGGC